GCAGGAACACAGAGTATCACTGCCTCACTACAGAGGATTTATTATTTGTCTATCCAGAATAGAGTCCCCCATTCTTTTGTGGAACTACACCTGCCTCATTCCAACTTATGGTTCTGCTAGAAACAATCCATCACAATACTGACTGAGCACATGACCCCAAGCCAGCCAATCAGAATTCTCCCCTGGAATTTTTTTTTCCCATGGAGCTGGTGTGGGAAAGCTCTCTTTCCTCTCTGGTCAGGAGACCTGTAAGGATGTAAGCCTGGGCTACCTGTAGCCATGGGGACTGCCAGCCTGAGAGAATAGAGCTAACAGCGGGGGATTTAAGTCCCTGGACCCGGTTGTCTAGAGGGCCAGCTTCTCTCTGGCTCTTAGTGTTCTTTCACATGGGCCATAATTTTATTCTTGTCTCTTAAGGCAGCTTTAATTAGGTCCCATCACTCCTAGTCAAAAGGGCCCTGACTAATGTTTGTACACAGCTGGAAATGGCAAAGCATGGAAAAAATGGTCTGAAAAGGAAAATGTCCAAATCAAACCCAAACTGGATGGGCCACCACCTGCTACTGCCATGTGCCGGGCAGTGTTACTTGGGTCAGGTGGACCAGAGAACCACCCCAGCCCATGGGGCATCCAGTCTTCACATATCTCAGATGCCATCCTCAACTCATCATAGGACAAGGCATCCTACTCACAAACCCACTGTGACCAAGTTCCTCTCCATTTCAGGCTACCAAGCGACCCTCCTTTTCCACTGCCCAAGGCTCAGAAACAAAAGAATCATGACAGGATCTTCAATAGAGAATATTTTTCCATCGAGGCTCAGAGGAAGGCCTTACATCCATTCAAGGGGCCATGACCTTCTGGCCTCCACCACTCATCCACCTCCCGCTGAGCTACCCTCCAGGGTACATCTCATCAGAGAAACCTTCTCTGATCACTGTTTTAAAGAACAACCCTTCTCACCTCCACTCCCTCCCGGCATTTTTCTCCACCTTTGATCATCACCTAACATGGTATTTATTAATTTTCTGCCCCCCAGGCCAACTAGAATGTAAGCTGCAGGGAGTCAAAGGCTCGATTTTGTTCACTGTCCTAGTCTCAACACCTAGGACAGTGCCTGACGCATGTTTTCGGTAAATATTTGTTAAATGAATGAATGTACATGCAGTGATACAAGATTGGGAGCAAGTTAATAGAAAGCAGACTGAGGAAGTGATCTGCCTTGAGGTCTACAGGAGGTTAAGGTGAGCAATAACTTGGTATGTCCATTCTCAGGGGGATAAAAGAAAGAATGGGACAAATGGGACTTATGAGGCATTTGGGTCCAAACCGGGGTACAGTTGGGTGGACAGCTATTGTTTTCGCCTACCTAGCAGCCATTCGCCCTTCCTACAAAAACCCCTGATTTTCCTTGAGTCTAATTTGGAGGATGAACATGTGACCCGATTTAGCAAATCAGTATAGCCCATGCCTTTGTTCATAGTGACAGCTTTCTGTTTGGACACATGATCCAATTCAGCAAGAAGAGTAATACCATGACGTCTGCCAAAGCAAGTGGGAAAAAGAAACTTCCTCTCCAGGGACACTGCTAGTAGTAAAGATGATAAAACCAGGAGCCATTGGAGTCACCACGTGGAGCCTGAGAATAAAGCCAACTCAAAGGAAAGCACCCTAGAGACGCCAAGAAACCTGAGTCCCTCCCTGGATGCAGCCATACCTGAAGGTACTGGACATTTCAATAATGTCAGCCAATAAATTCTCCTTTGCTGGAGAACTACTTTGCATTGGGTTTCTGTCACTTAAACTGAAAACATCTTGACCAATACTGAAGAACAAGAGGGACATACATTCTTAAGCCTCTTAAGCAGCTCACAGGGAAGCCTAACATCAGGCGAGGTGTCCCAGAAGTACAACCCCTCACCTTTTGGTGAAATTCACTGCCTGTCTTTTTGATGGGGGTTGAGGAAAGCAGGCAATGATGCTAGTTTTATTTAGTATTTGCATTTACATTCTGGGAATAAATTCAGCAACTTCGTCTCAAGTGTTTTAACATCTCGGCATCTCACAGTTGTAAGAACAGTGAGTAAACAGAATCTGACATTCTTCTCAGTGCAGAGGGCGAGAGAGCATGATATGGTGCAAAGAGCACTGAACCAAGAGTCCAATAATCTGGGTTACTTCTAACCCTTATCTGATCACTAATTGGCAGTGTGATCTGAGACAAATCATCTTGCTTCTCTTGGTCTCAGTTTCTAAGTCTGTAAAATGATCAGCATGACTACATCACTTTCGGGCACCTGTTCAATTCTGGAATGGCAAGACCACTAGGACAGGGGTTCCTAATCTTGGGTGGGATCTAAACCCTAGAAAAACAACCACGTGCACAAACACATAATTTTGCTTAGAGTCTCATGGGATTCACAACTCAAGAAGCCAACCTATATCTCTAACTGCTCTGCTGTAAAATAACTAGGACACCCCCTGCTTGGATTCCTCTAGTGACAGGGAGCTCACTACCTCACAAGGTAGTCAAATACAATTGAACTGCTCTAGAAAAATAAGTTCCTCTTCATAGTGAGCCAAAATCTGTACACTATAGTTTCTACCCACTGGTCCAAATTCTCGAGACAAATCAGAAAAAACCTGTCTCTCTCCTGTGTGTGAAATCTCTTCATTTGTCTGAAGACTGTTTCTAACTTTTAAATGCAAATAACTTATGAGGAGAAATGCAGATGATTTGCCATGCAAATTATTTCACAGTGCACTGTTCTAAAGATATGTTCTTCCACCTCAGCCCAAATATGCCAGACACCCAAATAGACACCACTGCTATTGATATGCGTAGATTTAGGTTTTGCAAAGAGGGGAAATGCTGTACAAAAATATCTTGAAGGAAATGGTAGTCTTTTGGAAAGAACACTGCATTAAGTATCAGAAGACTTGGAGAAATACCTGCCTCCCACTCCAACTACCTGTGTATCGCTGGGCAAGTCACTTACTCTCTCTGAGCCTGTTTCTCATCTGTAAAATGTGACGAAACCTACCTCAGTAAGATGTAGGATGCAGTGAGGATTCAATGATATAATGTTCGTAAAGCTTCTAGCCCAAGCTGGGCACAGAGCAAATTCTATAAATACTAGTTCCAGCGCTCAGCAAGCCCCACGGTTCATTCGATGCGCTCGGCGCTCTTTCACCAGTGGGATTCCCCTTAGCTAGCCGGAGTCTGCGCTCTGGGCTCGACTGAGGCTCCCTGGCCGCTCGCGCTTTTCTCTCCTTCTCCAAGATGGCGGCGGTCGGCGGCGCGGAGGCGGGATCCGGGCGAGCCGAGTGAAGGTAGCGGCAAGCGGAGCCCCCACGATGCCGGGCTGGGCCCCCACCGCGAGGCGGCAGCGGTCCCGCCCCGCCGCCACCCGCCGCCTGGGCCCCGCGACACCGCCGCGGGGGCGCCCCAGGCCCGTCGCGGCCTAGCCCAGGGGCCGAGCCGGGGACTGGAGTAGCGGCCGTAGTCCGCCCCCGGGAAGGGGCTGGAGCGGGCCGAAGGAGGAAGGCGGGCGAGAGCTGTTCAAATGGGGAAGGCGGGAAAGCTGCGGGGCCGGGAGGGGGCGTGCGGCCGCCCCGGGGGCCTGCGGGCCGGGGCCGCCCCTCCCCCTGCTCGGGCCGTCTCCGCCCTCGGGGGCGCGGGGAGGCCTCCGGGGACGCGAGAACCCGGGTCCCGGCCACGGTGCTGATGGGGACCCGGGATGCGGGGTCCCTGGGGCTGTCAAGGCGAAAGGGCCCTGGGGCCAGAGCGCCGGGAGGGCTGGGTCCTCGGCTCGCAGGAGAGGATACAAGTAGCTTTCTTTTTTTCAGAGCTTTGTTGAACTAGCTGTTGCTGCAAAATTGCCGGAAGAATCCCATTGGTTTGCGGTGGGGACCACAAAAGTGGTGGTCCGGGGGGCTCTTTGTGTAATTAACCCGGTGTTGTGTGTACTCTTGGCGTGTGACCCAATTTGAAGGTGCCTTCGTAGTGGGGTCTTCCCCATAAGGGCCCATTTCTCCCCACAGCTGTTACTTGTAGATTCACTTTATTTGATATGCAGAAGAGAAACATCGAACTCTCTTCTTTCTGATGGTTAAGCTGGTGGCTGATTACATATCCTCATAGCGGAATAAATAAAATCCAAAGTCAAGCCTGTTGATTGGAGGAGGCGACTTGTCAAAATTTGTGTTGCTGGGTTTTTTTTTGGAGATGCGTGTTGTCAGCGGATCTGTGCGGTGGTCGTGGTTCCACTTAGTTGCACTGCAGTGAGAGGATTCAATCCCCACCCCGGGCTGTCGGGCTCTCGGGCTGTCAGGCTGTCAGGCTGTCGGGCTGTCGGCAACTGCAGCTTCCAGAGCTGGCAGGGGCTGTGAGTGCTGCATAGGTAGGTTCTTGGAGAAGGGAGTGGCAAGAATTCGGAGTCGCGCTGTTCGGAGATTGGAGGAAATCTCTACGAAAATGAGAAGACATCACCGGCTCGTATCCTAGAAGTAACAACAGTAACAAAAATTCAAACATCGGCAACAGCAGCTGGATGTGCATCGTCCTTTTTCTGCACTGACTGGCAGTTTGAGTTCCTAAAAAGAGTTCTGGACGAAGAGAACCCCGGAATTTTGAACAAGGCTCTCTCATCCCGGACTAGACCTGGATTTAGGATTTCGCTCCCTGCCCGGTGCCCGGGTTTACTTTTTGTTCACTCTTCCAATACTCATTTACATTCTGGGATGAAGAAACTTGTTAGTGATTGTTGGGGCTCAGATTACATCAGAAAGTCACCTTCTGAAACATTTTTTTTGCAGTATTTATAATTTGGACTTTCAAAAGAGCACAGTACTTTATTGGGGATTTGGGGGATTTTCCTAATTACTTGGGTAATCCGGAAAGCTGTGCCTGAACATGAAGAACATATTTATCTACAAGAAGAGCACCTCTGCCTCCCCTTTTTCATGTCCTGAAGAAAAGTCCCAAAAGAGCCGTTGAACAATTTGCACATTTCACAAGTACACAGTTTTTATGACAGCATGTTTCTTACTTCCATGAATAATATTGAATAATGAACTTTTACTTATGTTGTCATTTCTTAGCATACTGAGGAACAGAATTATAAAATTATCCCTGCCTCTTGAAGTTGACAACACTGAATTCTATAAACCAAAATTATGGCATTCAGGAGAATGGGTTTTAACACCTGTTTTATATTTGCCAACATTTAATGTAATTAATTATGGCCTCTGTTTTCTAATGTGAAAAATCAAACCTAACATTTTTCATTTTCACTAACCCTCACAACCTGCTGCCTAACCCTGAACTCTGAATTTGTCATGGATAATATTTGAGACCCGGAAGGAATATGGGGAGTCACCTGATCTTATATAAATGTTGCCCTAACTCTGCCTTTCTTCCACACTCTTGCTTAAGACTTCTTTATCTGGTTTCAATTTCTATGAGTCAACAACCAAAACTAACCCCTAGGCTGCAGTAATATCCTGATTTTAAAGAACCTAGAAATTCAGGGTCCAGCAGTGGTCACCCAGCTGTGAGTGACATAGTCCATTGTGTTTTTAATTTTAGACTTTTAAGCTTGTGGCTGTCCCAGTTTTTTTAGTGAATGGAGCTTGCCTTCAGGCCACGTTCATTTTTTTTCTTACAGGTTATTTAATCCTGTAATTTTTTAAATGCTCTTCAGTGTTTTTTATGAAAATTTAAGTAGTAGCAGGCCTAATTCTAATACATGATGCTAACACCAGCACATGTTTTCTGTGTTGGCTTGTGCCTCTGAGGATCAGCTCCTAATTTTCTGTTCCCTTGCACAACTTTTTAAATTCACTGGTTGTTTTTCAAAGCAGTCAGTTATGAGACAATGAGCCCTTTTTCATAGTCCAGTAAGAAGCCATTGTTTTATTTCTCATACTGTCTTCAGAGGTACTTATTCCTATTTGACTGTTCTGTTTTATGTTAGTTTTGGTGTTAACAAAGGAAAGCCATGGTTATAAGCCTCAGAACCTGCCTCCGCTTCATATAGAAATGCATATTGTTGACAACAGATGGTGGCCATATTGATGACGTTGACTATTTAAGATTTTTTTCCCCATTATTTCTCAAGCATTCTTTGCCAGAATTCATTTGGCCTGGGAAACATTTAACTTGAGATCTCGAGTTGCAGTATTTCTTGGCATTATCAGCCTATGAAAACTAAAGGGATCTATATATTTTTCTAATAAACTTGATATTTCAGTGCCAATGAGATGATATACTATTTTCAAATGAATGGATATCATTCCGTATGACACACGCGCACACACCCTCCCTTTTGGAATCAGTGCCAATTGGGTGGAAAGGGGAAGACAGTCATTTCTATTTGAGAAAGTTTAATGCTTAATACTAAAAGTGAGAAACTAGCTACGTTATGTATCTTGCTTCCTTATACTATTTCTACGTGAGACCTGACCTTGTATCCCATTCATTTCCTATGGAAAGGCCTTTGAACAAGCAGTTCTCCAGTTTATCTTTAAAATAATTCAGATCATTTTGTTTCTTTTCTTTAGCTTCTCTTACCTTGACCAAGTCCATTCTTCATTATACTTCTTAGAGAAGTGAAGAAATGCTTTTTGTGTTTCTTTCCTTAATCTTACTTGTAAGTTATTCTAGGTAATAATTATTTTTTGTTTTCAACTTAGACATATCTATGCATTGTATTTTACCGGACTTATACAATTAAGCCTTTTCATTTATTTTAAATATAACTCATATGAAAGTTTTTCTTGTTAATTAAATTCATCTTTTCTTTCACAAAAGTTACATTAATAATATCCATACCTTTGTGAAAGGATTGGCAATGTCTCATTGAAGCGTCCTTCCACGTTTCCAAAGCCCATTATAGTAATAAAGGTAAAATAAAATTTAAATAAATGACCAATCAGATCAACTTTTAAGCATCTCACTAAGTGGATGAGAACATTTTCAATATATTTAAGTATATAATTTTTTAAGTTTCCTCTAAAGACCTTCCCTGCAGGAATTGTGACATTGCCTGTCCATAATATATTTGAAGAATTTTGCCTTAGAGTACAACTTACGGCTTGTCATCTTCAAAGTCAAAATGGACATATAAAATTGAATGCCAAAAAAAAAATAATTTTAACAAATTCAAGGCAATACTTAGAGCATTTAAATCATAGTAATTTTTCAAATTACTTAATAATCATAAAACTTTTATCACCAGTGGACAAATGATAATTCTTCCTTGTTTTCACCTGGCCTTTGATAAAGGCTTGATAGTGTGAAAGCTACCATATGGTCAACTAATAGAAGAAGTGTACCTACTTTTACACTTCTGTGATTTTGAGCCATTTCATATCATATAGCTCAACATTATGCAGACAAAAAAAATATGCTCTAAAGATCTTTAATGTCCCTATAATGTTATCATTTCTTTCTAAATTGCAATACATAGATTTTAGCCTGTCACCAATCCAAATGGTAGGAATTTATGATCTCGAATGTGTGGTATAATCTATCTTTCTCTGCATCCTGCTTATCTGTGCATTTTGTAACCATAATTGAACCTCTCCCTCTGACTTAATGTCGCTTTTTGCCCTTTCTCTGTTGTCAGTCCTGTTGGCATTTCAGAAATTCTCATTAACTTTGAAGTATTTTTTTATGTGGGAGGTATTTCATATACTTCCCCAAACAACGACTTTAATTCACGAATCAAATGAAATTAAGCCAAGTGCACTTCCTACAGTTTCAACCCCAATATACTTACAAACAGAATGAGGAGGTGACAAGACACTCCTTTATTCCTTGCTGCCCTTCCAGTCTGCCCTTGGATCACTACGCATTTCCACCTGGAAGGTTGCTTCTCCACAGTGATTTCGCATTACAGGAGGGTTTTCCTTCTTTGTTTCTCAGGCCTGGTCCTGTAGACGGGAAGAAGCCTGGACACAGTGACACATTCTCAAAGGCCCTGCAGGACCGCCATGGCTTATGATGACTCCGTGAAGAAAGAAGGTATGACCCCTTACTCTGAGAAGCATTCCAAAGGGTGTGTCCTCTTCAATCCTTGCAGCCCATGGACATAGAGACCAGGACTGGCCATCACAGCCTGGACTCCCAAGTGATGACCCAGAGCACTATTAAGCCTCCACGTCATCCCCAGACTGGGCCCATGGAAACGAAAACCAAGACAGGGTTCCAACACAAGAGTCTGAAATAGTCTATTGGGGTGATCCCTTGCAGCACTCGTGGTCCTTGCCAGCTCCAGTGTGCAGGAGTCTGGGGATAGGAATCACCTGTTGGACTCCCACAGAGCAGCACAGCACCTGAATCCTTATTTTCAGCCTTACCTCTGCAAGTCTGTGTCCACCTGCCAGATCACAACTAAGAATCCATGTCTGAGGATGCACGTTGGGCCTTTGCATAGCGTAGAACCTTTGTTTCTTCAGGTTCGGTTCTTGTATTTGCAGCTATGTCATCAAGAAATACTCTTGTCCCCTTGGATCTAGCCCTGTATTCCAGTGGACTTAAGGAAGCATTTTAATTTGGAAATGGAGGGACTGTGGCATTACATATGTGGTGATTTGGCTGTTACTTACTTGACTTTCTCATTTCCTTCCCAAATGAACCTGTGCTTCTCAGATTGTTTTGATGGTGATCACAGCTTTGAGGACATAGGACTAGCAGCTGGCCGAAGTCAACGAGAAAAGAAACGTTCTTACAAAGATTTTTTAAGGGAAGAGGAAGAAATTGCTGCTCAGGTCAGGAATTCTTCCAAGAAGAAGTTAAAGGTAAATTCTAAACGTTTGAATTAGGAAAGTTTTAAACTATTACATATCATATTCCTAATATTTGAAGAAAGAAGTTTCTTTTAAAAACTTAAAAAAAAAAGTAAACATCATTCACATCTATCTTTATAATTTTCTGAAGTCAGAAATCATCAAAAAACAAGATTAGTTCCACACTGCTTTTGCCTCATCTTATTGGTCAATTCTTCTTCCTCTTTCATTCTAGGATAGTGAACTTTACTTCTTGGGGACGGACACACACAAGAAGAAGAGGAAGCACTCCTCTGATGATTACTACTATGGAGGTAAGGGTGGGACAGGGCCGCAGGTGGGGTAAACACATCACTGGTTCTTGGAGTCGGGGTAGGGGAAAAGGATCCAGATGTTGCTGACTCAGTGGCCTATTTAACAGGACAGTGGTTCTTGTTCTGAGTGCCGATAAACCAGTGTGAAGGAGGAGAGAGGTGGAGGGCTGGTATTTTGGAGGATTCAGCATAGAAGAACAGTCTTCATTTGTGATACACCAGGTACCAGGTTCCTTCTCTCCCCAATCATCCACTTATCTTGTGCCCATTGTTACCCGGCATCCCTTTTGCCATCTGTAGTGCTAGGCCCTCTGGCCTGCCCCTCTGGGTTACTTCTCAATCCAGTGCATATCCACTCACAGACCAGCTTCTCTTAGCTATATTATGCACATAGCTGACAAGACTAACTCTTTACTAGAATGGGTTTGTCCTGAACACAAACAAACGATATTCCGTCTGCAGTGTAATCTAGATTGTAACTGCAGTTGACCCTTGAACATCATGGGGGTTAGGTCAGCATCAGGATCAAAAATCTGCATATAACTTTTGACTCCCCAAAAACTTAACTGCTAATAGCCTATGATTGATCGGAAGCATTACCGATAACATAAACAATCAATTAACACATGTTTTGTATATGTATTATGTACTTTATTCTTACAATAAAGTAAGCCAAAGACAAGATAATGTATTAAGAAAATCATAGGGCCAACCGAGTGGCTCAGTTGGTTAAGAGCTCCCTTAAGAGTGTGAGCTCTGAGCAACAGCGGTTCGATGCCCGGCCCAAGTTGAGCTGCTGCTGAGCTGCCAACAGGTGGCAGGATGGCTCAGCTTTAAAAAAAAAAAAAATCACAAGCAAGAGAAAAATACATTTATAGTATTTATTGGAAAAAATCTGCATGTAAATCTGCGCAGTTTAAGCCCGTGTTGTTCAGGGTCGACTGTGCTCGTAACCCCACAGCTGTAGACATTCTTCAATGCTGTCTTTGGTGCTTGTGAAGACTCGGTGAAGAAAAACAACTCTAGTGGCGAGAACTGCCTCCAGGGTCAGAGGCAGACTCCACCACGCCAAGCCGCTCAGGGGCACCGCCTCTGAAGGCTGGGAATCGGTTGAAGGGCCTCCCCTTGAGTTATTCCTGTTAGCTGCTTCCTCGTGTTAGTTGGGTGTTTCGGGTGAGAGAGGAAACTTGCCGGAAGTTGCTTTGTGATATGGACACTACTTCTCTTGATTATTTCTAGATATTTCGTCTTTGGAATCGTCACAGAAGAAAAAGAAGAAATCCAGCCCACAGTCTGCTGATACAGCTATGGACCTGTTGAAAGCTATCACTTCCCCACTGGCAGCAAGCTCCAAGCCCTCCAGAAAGCCAGGGGAGAAATCCTCTAGTTCTTCAAGCCATTCAGAGAGTAAAAAGGAACACCACAGGAAGAAAGTAAGTGGAAGCAGTGGGGAACTGTCCCTGGAGGATGGTGGTTCCCACAAATCCAAAAAAATGAAACCGCTCTATGTGAACACTGAGACACTGACCCTCCGTGAGCCTGACGGTTTGAAGATGAAACTGATTCTCTCACCAAAGGAGAAGGGAAGCAGCTCGGTTGATGAGGAGTCTTTTCAGTACCCCTGTCAGCAAGCGACTGTGAAAAAATCCTCTAGGAAGTCGGCTCGGGATGAGCAAGGTGCTTTACTCCTAGGACACGAGTTACAGAGCTTTCTGAAAACAGCCCGGAGGAAGCACAAATCATCCTCAGACCCACATTCGTCTCCTGGCCCCGAAGGCTGTGGATCTGATGCCTCTCAGTTCCCAGAACCCCACAGTGCTAACCTGGATCTTTCAGGGCTTGAACCTATCCTAGTAGAATCAGACTCATCCTCTGGTGGGGAGCTAGAGGCTGGTGAGTTAGTGATAGATGATTCTTATCGGGAAATCAAGAAGAAAAAGAAGTCAAAAAAGAGCAAAAAGAAGAAGGACAAGGAGAAGCATAAAGAGAAACGCCACTCCAAGTCCAAGAGAAGTTTAGGGCTTTCTGCTGCCACGATGGGAGAGGGCACAGTGACGCCCGGCCCCCCTCCCAGCATCCCCTGCTCTGGAGCAGCTGCCCCTCCCCCACCACTTCCTGGCCTCCACACGGACGGGCATAGTGAGAAAAAAAAGAAAAAAGAGGAGAAGGACAGAGATAGAGAAAGGGGAGAAAAGGTAAAACTTTTTTTTTTAAGTGTGGTGGGGATAAAACATGAAGCAGGTTTCTCCTTGATGGTAATAAATGGACCTGGAATTAAGCTGCTCAGGTGAACCATTGGGAATATAGCAAGCTAAACCTCTTAGAATGATACAAAGTTAAAATGCCAAGGGTGCCAAAAAAATGTATGCAAGCAGACACTGGTCAGCACTGTTCAAGCAGTAGTTCGCCATAATCGGAAGGGTCTGGACGTTGATGGGAACCACTTTAAGCACCTCTTGTATTTGCAGAAGTGAAACTTGACTTGTATTCATCTTTTGTTATTGGTATATATTGAGTATTACAATTTTAATACAGTTTTCCTTTCTTAAAATGTGTATACTTTTTTTGGCACCTTCTGTATTACCAATGACCTAGTCTGGTACAAAAATAGGAGCAATCTCAATTATTTGTAGGTTTTCTTAACACAGTTGTTGTCCCGTTGTGCCAGGCATAGATTTAGGAGTACCAAGGCTTATTCTGATGGTACTTAGCGTTCATAGAAGGAGCCAGCCCCCATTTCTTTCACTCAGCAGTGCTGTCTGCCTGGGGCAGTTGAGAGCTATGAGGAGGTATTCTGTGAGTTCATTTTGAAAAATAGGTTTTCAAAATTAGGAGAATCATGACCAAGTTAACAGAATGAGCTAATGGCTTTCCACTAACTGGTGTTGGTTGCTTTCTGGTATTTTTGGTGACCAAGTGCTTACCGTTCACCAAGCCCAATGCCACAGTAAGTGCCAGGAGGTGCAGAGAGGAGCGGGGCCCGGTTGCTGACCTTAGGGAGCGCCCCACTGAGGCAAGAGGAGCAGTCAGCCACCTTGGCCTGATTTCTTTCTTCACAAGTTGAGAAATTTTCTAGTAGTTGTACTTTAGGGGCCAGTGACTATGTCTTTACAGTCTCCCTTTTAAAGATAAACAGTTTTTCCCCTGTTATCAAGGGAATATATTATTTTTGTAGAAATTGAGAAATTCAGAATAGTAGAAAGAAAAAAATTATCATAGTTTTGCCACTAAGGACCTCCATTTTCTTCCTTTGTTTGTAGTTCTACAAAATGAAATGTCAGATAAAATCTGAAAGAAAAGCTACTAAGAAAGAGAAAATCAAATATACGAGGTGTGATCAAACAATACGGTGAATGCTTAAATAAAAAAAATTTATTGCAGTAAAAGACATTGCCATTAATCCCCCTCAAAATACTCCCCCTCACTTCGAACACACTTATTTCATCATTCTTGCCACTTTCTGAAGCAGTTCTGGAAGTCTTCTTTCGTTAGTGTCTTTGGTTGTGCTGTCGTGGCTGCCTCGATGTCCTGAATCATTTTGACTTGGGAAGAGCCAGAAGTCACACGGTGCCAGATCCTATGAATGAGGTAGATGAGGACACACCGTAATGTTTTTATTTGACAGAAATTGACATGTACCAGAAGTGATGTGTGACACGGAGCGTTGTCATGGTGGAGGATGATTTATGGCACACTTTAAAACACACCTTCTCTCAATCGTAGCTCACACCCAACTGACTGCACCGAACAAGTTGAAATTTGTCACACACTGTTACTAAGGTTCGACAGGCTGCTTCCCTTATTGAAGATCCCTGCCTTTCCGTTGGATGGCACTCAGCAGCAGCATTTACCATATTTTGTGATCACAACAGAAAGGCTCCATGTCACACATCGCTTCTGATACAGCAATTTCTGTCAAATAAAAACATTATGGTGTGTCTTCATCCACCTTATT